ATATTAAATTTAAAAAAGCTGCAAGCAATGTATAAAATTTATTCAGTAAAAAGGCGGGAACTAGTAAAATTCTAGTAACGTTTTAACCGAGCGTCTGACCTTAAAACCCTAGTATAATGATAAACTTATCTTTGGGTCTTTTTTTTCTCTAAAAACGACTGCTATATTTACTTAGTATTTAGTCCTGTTTACTTATATTAATTTGGCGCCAGATATATGTTCATTTAGAGCGCGGAGCTACATCGTACTGAATACATTTTTATAGTGTTCGTGAACACGCACAATGTTGATTGTTGTATTATCTGAACTGTGTTGGTAAATAATACGTTAAGAGCGTTTTTATCGTAAATGTAAAATTACAACAGAAAATATGTGTTTCCACATCAATTAAAATTTCATTAAATTGATAACGATAAAAACGTATACTAAAAGGAATATGTAGATAAAAATGTTGTTGAGTTTAATTTAATATAGTTGGTGTACTATAATTACCTGCCAATATTGGTCTATAATTATGTATGTTATCACCATCATTTTCAGCTTATTCAACCATTTCCAATTATGGTGTAACCTCCCTTACATATATTTAGATCTCTCTATGTAGTTGGGCTAATTGGACGATAATTCGCTGGTTTTGGGAAATACTCTCAACACGAACAGCAGAGGCTGAGATAGGTACCAAAACTGTAGTTGTTAAAACAACGCAAGGAACACCACAAGGTGGAGTGACCTCCCCCTTACTGTGGAGCTTAGTAGTGGATGAACTACTGGAAGAATTAACTCTAGCGGGAATACACTGCATAGGGTATGCAGATGATATAGTCATCATTGCACGGGGGAAACATGAAGACACCCTGTGTGATATTATCCAAAGAGGACTCCGCATCGCTGAGAGATGGTGCAGGACTGTCGGGCTGAGTATTAACTCAGATAAAACCGCAGTAGTGCCATTCACCAGAAAGCGAAGTTTGAAAACTTGAAAAGAATCCATCTAGATGGAAAGGAAATACTGCCATCACAGGAAGTGAAATATCTGGGAATAACCCTGGATAGTAAACTTCTCTGGAACAGGCATATTAAGAACATTACCAGCAAAACCACAAAGGCTCTCATGATATGCAGAAGACCGGCGGGAAATAGGTGGGGCTGCACCCCTAACATTTTGCGCTCGATGTATACCATGATAGTAAGACCCATGATTACTTATGGAGCAGTTGCTTGGTATACAAAACTAGAGCAACGTACAGCAAGGCAAAACCTGTGCAAAGTACAGAGACTGGCATGTATCTGCATCACAGGTACCATGAGAACATGTCCAACAGCAGCAATGGAGGTCATTCTAGACCTAACACCACTGCACATTGGCGTCGGTAGTTATGCCAATGCGACAATGATTAGAATGGTCATTGACGGAAACAGTACTGGGAGAATTTTCAGGCCAGGGGCTTGGAACACCCTCAAAAAGAAAATTCCACTTCTCCAACTCCCAGTGGATGACATACCAAGAATTTACAACTTTGAGAAACACCTCACTGTAGTATTGAGTAATAAAAAGGATTGGAAGAAAGAAACGCTTACTCAGCATATAAAAGACCATACCATAACGTGGTATACTGATGCTTCCAAAACCAAAGCAGGGACAGGGATAGGAGCATTTGGGCCGAAAACCAAATACTCCGAACCAATGGGCACCTATCCCAGTATCCTTCAGGCAGAAATTTGCGCTATCGAAAGATGCGTACAATTTATCTTAGATAGGAACTATCGAAAACAGGAAATTGCCATCCTATCCGATAGTCAAGCAGCACTTAACGCGATCAACTCAGTAACCATCAATTCGAAGTTGGTCAAAGAATGCCTAGAGAAGCTCAACAAATTAGGCAAAGAAAATAAAGTCCTCCTACTCTGGATGCCTGCTCACCAAGGGATAGAAGGCAATGAAAAAGCAAATGATCTAGCTAGAAAAGGAGCGAGCACTACACTAACTGGACCAGAACCGTTCTGTTTTCCAAACGGGAACCAACTGAAAGCGGAACTGAAGAATCTGGAAGACTCCATCCGTAACTTGGAATGGGTGTCCTCCAACGGTCTAAGACACTCGAAAAAGTTCCTCAGAACTTATGACCGGGAAAAATCAAAGGTTTTCCTTGATTTAAGTAAAAACAATCTTCGGATTGTCACGGGGTTTCTAACAGGACACTGTCTCCTCAACGAACACCTCAGTAGGCTGAAACTGAGAAACAACGGCGAATGCAGATTTTGTGGGGAAAATGGGGAAACACCAGAACACCTTATCACTGATAGTTTGTCCCTTGACACGCAGGTGTGCATTTATTGGAGTCTTAGAAAAGACCAATAGTTTGGTCTTGCAGTGGACTACGGCTGTGTATTAGTTGTCCCAAATATATATATTCTTCTACTACTTATGTATGTAATAGCTGATATTTTGTATTCATTAAATTAAACTGTAAAACTATAGTTATCATTGTTTGGTAAATTATTGACTCTTAACGTTTGGATATAATCCGATGAGAGATTATTTCAATTAAGGCCAAATTGTCATTGTGCATTAGATACTTGTGTGTAAATAGGAAAAGATATAGAAATTAAAGTCCATCACTATTAAACAATCTGCTGTTTCTAAATGACAAAAATTATTAATGAAAGTCCAAAATAACCGAGTTATTTTACTTTGAAAATTAAAAAAAATATATATTTGTTTTAATTGCTGTGTTTTCTTTCTTGTAAATTTAATCTACTAGCTTTGTCTGTTTGTATTAAAAATTAAAAAATTTCAAATTTTCAATTTCTTCTTTCTCGAAAAAAAAACCTCAGACGTGGTTCTGGAGTCGAAATATACTGTCTCTCAAACATTTGCACTTATTTAAGACTCGCACTGTATATAAAAAGTCTAAATTAAGTACTGTGATTAAATGAATGAAATAAATAAATTCCTAGAATATAGAGCTATCTGTGTTTTTCGAATAGCTTTCAATTTTCAGTCAAGTGCAATATAGCAACTGTATCAAGTTGAAGGATAACTTGATGACTATGAACATTTTTGCAATTCAGTAAATCTATCCTTAAATTATTAGTCATTATAATGACTGCAATTATTTTCAATCCGGAAGTGCATATAAATAATGACAATGCAAGCAAAAAATTACTTTTGTGAGAATTTCTGTTTATTTTGTTGGTTATATGATGATGTTCTGTTAATGATAATGGCTTGATTGAGTTGCACAACATGATAAAAATTCCTTGATTCTTTAATGGTTTATTAAATGTGTTAATGTTAGTATTTATATTTTTGTAATTTGTTAAGGTTTCTATTTCTCTAGCAAGAAATATTAATTTATAAAAGTTCTTATCACTAAAAGTGTTGTAGTTTCATTCAATAAATAATTAAGTAAAATTGGTGTAATATTTTTAAAAACCATTAAGTTTAAAATGTTCTTTTTTCTTATATTATTCTGAACGTTTTCCATTTCAGTTCAATGCTTATGGCATGTCTATACCGAAGTGCTAATTCTTAGTAATTAACACTTATTCATTGCCGAGAGAAACAAGAAATTTTCTCAAATAAAGCCATTTTCGAGATTTTCGGTATCTTCAAAGACTTTACTAGAAGGTTTAAGTGACATGTATTTACTTCGTATATTGACAATAAAAATATGTAGTAATATTTGCATATTTAATGAAGATATCATGTAAATACAATACCAGTAGTAAATTTACACATGTTCCTTTTATAGCACAGAAAAATTTTATCTAAATTTTACTAATAAATAACTGTTGAAATGTAAACAAATATTGGAATACCAGCTAAAATTTATAAACTTGAGAGTTATCACCTGATTTTTTTTTTCAGTTTGTTGATCATTTGATAGATATGAATGTTTTGTTGGCATTGATTAACATGTGTAAAAGAAATAGAATGTCTTTATTATGATACCAATAATTGGTTTTTAATAAAAAACTACTAAATTCAATTAAAACATAATTTTTAGTGCTAAACATAAACATCGTATTACATCAATATTAATACGTATTATTTTTTTAGTCAAACTAGGCAATCTTTAAATTGGAAATCTATGCTCAAAATTAGTAAACAAGCTATATGGGCAAAATTCTATTGAAGTTCCATGTAGATAATTCTACCAGTTGACCACTAAATATGGTGTGGGTTTGTGCAGACAAGGTTTGTGATCCCTGATTTTGGCGGTTCTCTTATTATTGTGTGGTTTGGTATAATGCAAATTTCATCATTTCTTCTAAGAAGGATATGAATCTTTATAATTTTTTAAGCAAATGTTTTATCATAATGGGATAATTTTTGTGACTCAAATTGAGATACAATACTTGTTATTGAAAATATCATGTTAAATATAAAATCTGATGGACTGTATGTGGTACATAATTAAAGTTGGAACCTTTCCTTTTATACCAGAGGATTACGAAAATTTACCAAAATACCCTAAAAGACTTTATTTTAATGTTAATGTTAGCTGTTAGGGGTTTTAACCATATGTTGATAATGTTATTCATGGATTTGTGTTATTTTTTTTCAATGTTTGTATATAGTCAAAAACATTAAACATTTGTATGTTTAGACTTATTATTGTAGTAGATTGGACTAAACAAGGTTTGCGATCATTGCGATCACTGTGATGGTTCTTTTGATCGTTTCTTCGAAGAATGATTCGAGTACATCTCTGATCATGATGGGATAATTTTGTGACTCAAATTGAGATATATCGTTATTGAAAATATCATGTTAGATATAAAATCTTATGATTGTATATGGTATACAATTTCAGTTGGAACCTAGATTTCGCAAATCTATCAAAATACACCAATAATGCTGATAATGTAATTCATCGATTTGTGTAATTATTTTCAGATTGTGTCTCTATATGGTCAAAAATATTAAACATTGAATATTTTCATATTTAGAAGATGAAATTATTTTCCGTTTTAACAAAATAACTAAACCATACCTTTATTTCGTCTAGTCTTTCGTCCTCTGGCCATTGCGTAGACTATCTTTAAAATAAATATCCAACAATCGAATAGAAGAAATACTGGTATCACAATATCGGAGTTGCACTTTGCTTGTTGTACTTGTACGGGCCCTTATTTTATTAATAATACTTATATCACTAAGATCACAGATATCGATAGAAATTAAACTGATTGGCAAATAACAATAACGACGAAAACTTGAAACTTTTCATTCTCTTTTTCTTCATCTATATGAAAAATAATTTTATCCGAATCCGATAGAGCTGAATCCAGCAACAGAATCAACCGTCGAAGGCATTTGTTGTCGCTGAATCCCCGGAAAACTTCAGAAAGGACGACGGGACGAGAATGGCTCGAAGGACCAAAAATTTACTACGTACGTCAAAAGATCGATCGGGCGCGCGCTATCGAGCAGCGTCGTACTTGCGTCCTACGTTTACCGTATCCACGTAGCAACTGGCGGTTTGGCTGCGGATTACAGGTTGTTATAGAAGGCGGCTGTGAAAAAACAAGCCGCCAGCAACGGTTTGAGTCAGACGACGACGCTTTTCGTCTCGTCGGTATATAATGTGCGTATGTGTGTTGGTGCGAAGGTAGGGATGGGAGTCGCGCGTTACGGACGGAAGCTGGACGTTTTGTCGTTCCGAAATCGCCAAGGGTGTCGTCCCGGAAAGATAATGGTCAGCGGGTGGTCAATTAGGCCCTTTAATAAGCGATCGATCGAAGTTTCAGTATACAGCGTCTGCTTGAAGATGATCAGACAATGTTTCATTTGAAAGTAAGCTATCAAGTAGATGACTGTAGCCTGTTCCACTGCGACCTTTCCGGATCTCTCGTGTTACCCTTCTGATCTTTAGGTTCCATTCTCCAGTCCTACCCTTTTCAAAAAGTCTAGCAATTTGGTGACTGAACCGTCCATATAGTTCTTTGCAAATGACCTATCTTGCCTAATGCAAAGAACCACGTATTATCCAGCCTGTCGCACTGAGATGAAATGTGTTTTATCGCATCTTCTTCAGATTGACAAAATCTGCACATGGCATTATCCTTCAATCCAATGAGCTTCAGATGTTTATTAAGCTTACAATGCCCTGATAGTAGACCCACTACAGCTTTGGTATTTTTCTATCTGGTTTGCTGTAAATGTTGGCGAATGTTCTACTATAAGCTATCAAGCAGATTTAGCAGATACCAAAAGCTGTACAAAATTTGTACACTACTTGTAGATGAAAAGCACAAAATCTTCAAGGATAATAGCTTAAGGAATCATGCAATGGTTTTCATTAAAAACTTTTCCCAAGTAGCTGATAATTCATGTCAGGAGAGCTGAAAACAATATATTGTTGCTCCGTCAATTTTCAGATCTTCAAAAGAGTTTTTGTAGATAACTCAAGACTCTGACGACCATCGAATTTTGTGTTTATTCGATCAAATATGCTCTGCAATCAATGATTTTGATGTCACACCCTTGATTGTGTTTGTTTGACGTTCCTTAGGTCTAATTTCCAGTGACCTTTCTGTTTCCTTAACTCACAGGATATCTGAGATCTGAAAACTACTGGTTTTGTTGTTCATAAGGTGGACCATAATTAAGGTATTGTTAGGTTTGAAGGCAGTTTTGACGTTATATTGTTTCAGATATTGCTGATTTTCTCGGAGAAGTTCACAGAGCAGAAGCTCATTTGTATGAATTAGGGATGATTATACATCAAAAACTATATCGCTAATAGTTTCTTCATTTTCCTGAAGTATTGGAATCATTTTTGAAAACTGAAAATGTCTTGAAATCAATTTCATTTCATTAATAGTTCTCTTTCTATTTTTCTATATTATACGTTAAAAATTAAATAACTATTTACAGGGTGTGATTATTTAGGGGTTTTCGCGAAAAAAAATTGAAAATTCGGATTTTTTTCCAAAAAATTTTGGAAATTTGTTTAGTTTTTCGTTAAAAACATAATTTCTTGATAATATGGCAACATAGGTAGTAAATTAAAAGTAAATTAAATTTACAAGAAAGAAAACCCAGAAAAATTGATTCAGTGGTTCAAAATTTAAACAATTTTTTTTTGGAAATTTTCAAAGTAATTTTTAATAAAGTTACTCAATTTAGGTCTAATTTTTTCAGAATCCATTCTAATAATTAGGAAATATAATAAATTAAGAGAATTAAAAAAGGCATTATACCTATTCATTTTTTCAGTTTTTTTCATAATTCGGTCGTCTATGATAAACATTAATTTGATGCATCAAAAATTAAGTTTACATATTAAGTACCAAATTTTTACTAATTGGAGGGTATCAGGATTTTTTAAAATATTTTTACATAGAATTGGAAAATTTAATGTTAACGTGACAATTTTTACAAAAATTTTACTGTATTGTGAAAATTGAAAAAAAACTTTAAAAACTCTTTAGAAATATTCAATAATTATTTCCAAATCATCTATAAAATTGATTTATATAGACCAAAATGGTTCATTATACTGAGTAAAAACTTAAAAGATTATTATTTTTTTAAGCTAATATATCTGCGCAAAATATCATGAAAACTGAAATCATGTTCTCTAGAAATTTATGAAAAAGTGAAAAGAGTTTAGTTAAAACAAAATCGAAAAACAATTTCCAAAAAACGAAATTTACAACAAAATGGAATAAAAAATTCTTAATAATATGGAATAATGGAATCTCATGAAAAAATAAACATGTAGGTATTATGTTTTATCACTCTAATCAGATTGCTTTCCTCTAGGTTGATATACTTTCTTTTATCCTGTTTTTATTTATAAACGCGTTATCAGGATATAACCGATAAAGAATCAAAAAAACTTTTACAACAAGATTATTTTCATTTGAAATGTCGATGAATTACAAGCTAGTTTCGAAGCTAGCATTCGTAAATCAAAAAATAAGTGACGAGTAACTAACTTAATTTTCTCAACATAGAATCAATCATTTATTAAAAATTGCGTTATAAAAGTATTAACAAACAATAAGTCAAACTACTTTTTGATAATAATCAACTATTGTATGTCGTCTACTTTTATTCCTCACAGTTTTATATTTAACCATCGCAAGAAGTCCTGAAAAGTCGATCAATATTATCATTACGAACCTTAAAACTTGCTGGGAGTGAATTGCATAACCGAGTACTCATTATCGATGGTGTCTAAAATAACAATCGCTGAAACCTTTTCGAATCGGATAGAAAAATAAAACGTGACAGAAACGGCCACTCAAAGATTTCTTTCGACGCTCTTTGGGCAAATGTAAATACGAAGGGGAAATTTTAAAGACGAGACTAACGAGACTTTGTCCTTTTAGAGTTCAGTTATATTTTTTCAGACGATAAGAAGTACTAACAAAATTAAAAATAGTGAATAGGGTGTATTGAGAGCGCAAGAATAAATGAGAATTATTAAGAAAATATTTTCTAAATTAATAAATTTATATCTCAATTTTTTTTATCAAATTTGTTCTACAAGTGTTTTTTAGAAGATATGGCTGCATGTTTCAGTTTGTACGTAAACGTAAATAAATCAATAATAATAATTATTCCAAAATAATGTTTCGTTCCAGATTATATTCTAATAATTACAAAAGTATCACGAGTATATATTGAAGCATTTTATCGGATGTTGACCGGAGTATGTCCCTATTTTAATTACTTTTTTTTATCTTATTATTACTTATAATGGTATTAGGAAATATCGAATGCTATACTTATTATGAAAAATATCAGGTTAATGTTGTTTTATCTATTTGTTATTAAACATATACAATTCACTGTCTTAAATCAAAAGTAGTGTGCTACCTATGTACCAATATGTATTTCAAAGTCAAGAGCCAATTTTCAATTTTAGTAATTTTTTTTACTAAAATAATAAATAAAAAAGTGTTTCTAAATAGACTAGTCTGGAGATAAAAGTCTTAGTAGTTCTTGTGTTGTTAGTTTCTATCTTTGTATTTGATTAATTCATTATATGTTGACGGATTATATAAGACTTTTTTATTGTTGCTAGCTATTGTACCATCTTCTAGTTCTCTATAATCCTGATGTCTTGACACAGTTGTTCCAGCACGATCTTCATAAAGCTGTTGTCGAGAAAGAAATTTGTTCCAGTGACGTGAATTTTTAGCAAAAAATTGTTTAAATTCAACACTTGTTAAGATCGACCGGAAAAACTGTAGAGAGATTGAGCCGATTACTACAAAAGATGCTGTCATTAATAAAATTAATAAACTGAGAAGATCCTAAAGAAATTCAAATAAAAAACTCAAAGACTCTCTGAAGTCTGGAGCATCAGCTGATGACGTATACAATTGACGCCAACCAATTATCACCAAAGCGCCATCATAGGTAGCCGCCTTTATTGTATACGCGAGTTACGAACTGACGTACAACTAATTCCAGTGGGTTGTAGGTCACCCGCATTTGTACAAAATCCTCAAGACCTCGACTGCATAGTTCTGCCTTGAGGAAAAACTCGATGTGTGTGGCTACCTCCTCGGAAAAGACGCCATTAAGTATTTTTAAAACTATAGTTGATGATTGAAGAGGAACGAGAGATGACGCTATAAATTCCTTGAACCTAGAATAAAATAATGGTTACTTCCGGAACTATCCAGGACAAAGATCCATGGGTAATAAGAAGAGGTCAAGACGGAAAAGGTCAGTTTAAATAAGTAAATGGCAAATTCGAAGGAAATGGATTAGTGATTAGGAATTAGACCGAAACCGAAATTTCGGTCGGACACTATCACGGTTAGGTACACAGTGGTCGGAAGTCTATAGTTAGAAATCGCCCTTTTTTGTGATATAATTAAATAGTGTACTGTAGTTTTAGAACCTAGTATAATAAAGGTAGGTTCATATACACGTGAATTGTGAATATTGTTGTTATTGGTCTATTTCAAAAAAATACGGAGGCGCCAAAATTTGTTTTAATATTTTGCGACTATTTGCTGCGAATTTTGAGTTTTTACTTTTTTACTCTTGTCATATATTTATTATTTATATTTCTTGTTATGATTATAATAATATAAACATTGGTTAAGATGGAATAAACTGAAAAGGTATGAATAATTGTACATAATCATTATTAGATAGTTAATTTTTTTACAATCTAATTTCGTTTTTGTTAATTCAATGTTTTGACTGCAAACTGGTAATATTATTGAAAAATTTTCAAAACCATCGAGAATCAAAATCCTTTATAGACATTCTATGGTAGTTTGTAATTTTTTTTTCCATGGTTAATTCTCATTTATTGCCATAAACTGTGATATACTCCTTGCTGTTTTCCATGTTCCAATAATTGTTCTGTGTATTTTATTTTTGTTATTTTTTTTTATTATAAATATTCAGCAATAGATCGTCTTCTACGCCAAAAATAAGTAGCCTCATCAATTAAAAAAAATAAAGCTATAAATAAAATTCTTCATTCAAGTGACATTTCCAATATGTGTTTAAAAACACAAGGATCCCTAGAATTTATT